TTAATTATGGAGTTCCACAGGGTTCAGTGCTAGGACCAATTCTGTTTACATTATACATGCTTCCCTTAGGCAGTATCATTAGAAGACATAGCATACACTTTAACTGCTATTCAGATGGGGTACTGCATGATATCCCATAATTACTGTTTTATTTTGTTTTGCTTTTCCTACATCTTAAAACTGACCTCCTTTTAATACTAACATTATGGACAATTAAAAGTTACATAGGCTATAACACTGTACATAATATCAATGCTTCCAGTTTTGCTCACTGAGACTAATGTTATGCTCTGTGTTCCTTTTCAACACAGGTCACTGATGTTAATGACAAGTTTAAAGAACTATTATCAAAGTATGACATCAGAGAGGATCAAAATGTGAAGATTCCACTGAAAAACAGGATGAAAACTCTCCAAAATGAGCTGACATTACAATATTTTAAAGAGCACCACATCCCCACTTCATTACAGTGGGCTTTGGATCAGGCTACTGGATATGTGAACCTGTCTCTGACTGAGCGGTTCAACATTCTGAAGTCAGTTGTGAAGTTGACCTTAGATGGTGACTCTGATATTAAATGTTTCCTCACGACTGGACAAGACAGGAAGACTGAGTTCCTCTTCAATTTGCAGGAACAGCTACAAGCTAAAAATCCAACACTGGCCAGACAGGTGTTAGCAAATGTTCTGGATCTGTCCTCAAAGCTGACCCAATCATGTAAGGAGATCCTCTGTCACATAGTCTTCAACAACATCTGGACACCAAAAGAAATCAGGCTTTTCATTAGACAGACCTCGAGAGTGGATCAGGAAACAGTCGTAAAAATCCTCCACAAAGCGTGCACCTACAGGCTGAGCTGTAACGACGCTCTCTCTGCCCTGAAAAAGAAAAATCCTGTAGACTACATCCAACATTGTGTGGACAGAGCTGAGCATGACAAAGATGCTGACACACTATTGGCTGAACTGGAAGACAAAAACTATCCAGAGTGTATCCTGTCACTCCTGCGAAAAGTCCTGACGTATATTGAAGAAGAGCTACCCAAATATGTAAGTAAGCCCATTAAGGCGAAGAAGATTGAAGATTGTAAAAAGATAATAAATTCTCTTGATTTTAACAATCATAAGATTGATGCTCTGAAGAAAGTCCTGATCATCGTATCCAGAGCTGTAAAGGAATGCACCACCTTTACCATGCAAAGCGGTGAACAAGTTCAGGGCTACTTCCCAAGACTCAGTCAGCTGGCTTCACTGCTGCTACTCCTGTTGCCACAGTCTGGGGATAAAAAAGGTAGTCTGTTGGAAATTGGCACCGGAGAGGGCAAAACTTGTATTTTAGCCATGTTTGCTACAATACAGGCCACACGAGGCGTAAAGGTGGACATTGTGACAAACTCTTCTTTGTTAGCAAGTCGTGATCAGGATGAGTGGAGAAAATTATATGATGTGTTTGGTATTACATCATCCACGGTGCCTCCAACACACATCGATAACTGCTCTTTTAAAGATAATGACAAGCTGCTTGAGGATGCATACAGCCAGCAGGTTGTTTATGGTACAGTTGGTACCTTTGCAGCAGACATACTGAGGCAAGAGTATGAGAAGAAGACTACTCGAGGTCTGAGGGGGTTTGAATGTGTGGTAGCAGATGAGGTGGACTACATGACACTAGACTGTGGAGTGCAGGTCACATATCTGTCAGACCAAGCGTTCACCTTCCTGAAGCACTTCCGCACATCATCTGGAGGATGTGCG